AACTAACCTCCCCTCTATCTGTACTGTGTGAATATAAAAGAGAAGGTTAACAGAGGGTTGCCGTCTCTTCCTGGTACATTAGATGGACTTGTAGAAATGTGGGTCTCCTCTGGTCTCTCTGCCTCTGTAGTATCCCTGAAATCTGTGATTGCCTGATTGCCATCCCCAAATCTGGTTTGGATATGGGTTTGGTTCCCTATCCAAGGATAATCTAATTCAGCCTTCTCAGACTTTGCTACCTTTTTTGTCAGTTGAGAGATGTTGTTCCTTAAAGGAAGGGAAGTTCCCACCATGAGGAAATTTTGGTTTTATACTAGCTTGTGAAGGGTGAAGGTTCTCCCCCTTGAGATTTTGCTCCAAGGCAGTTCAATTTTCTTGGTACAGTGGCTCCCATTTAGAATGGCCATACCTGGATAAGGCTGCTTATTGCAGGTCCTGTCACAGGTACATTGAACATTGACAATCAATCCTGCATTTTCTATGGTGATACCTAAATTGTAGAACAAACTGTTTTTGCAACTGAACTTTTTTCTTCCTTACTGAATTTAGAAAAGGGCTAAAATAGTATCTTTCTCCATGAATCTTTAGAGCTTTTATGCTGCTATGTGGTTGTTAATGTTTATATTTTATAATGTAAAATGCAAACACATGTGAATGGCATCAAAATTATAAAACAATTAATAAATACAGTGTAGCTGCCTGGCTCATTAAATTATGCAAATAAGTGTGACTGGTGATATTTGCAGGCATGAAGTGTGTATAAATGGGTTGTGACTCAATAAATCAAAGAAGGGAATGCGTATTCTGCAAATCCAGAATGCGTTGAACTGGCCCAAGGGTGTTTGATCTGGCTTTATCAGTTGCAAACATTTGGTTGCCAAGGTATGGAGGTTTTGCCAGGTAAATGTTGTGAAAACTTTGCTGCTCCATTTTCTCACCTGGAGATGAGGTTTATGCTCCTGCTCAGAATCTGATTTTTTGGAAATGGTTCTTAAAATGAAATTGCATTTGCAGCCACCGGACTCTGCTACCTCTCTCTTTATTTGTGGCTATCATGAATATACTTGCTCACACAAAGAAAATGTTAGCTTGTTTTTAGAATAAGACTGGCTTCTCTCCTCTCTCCAGATCAGTGTTTCTCAACCTTGGCAACTTTACGATGTGTCGACTTCAACTTCCAGAATTTGTGGCTGGGGAATTCTGGGAGTTGAAATCCACACGTCGTAAAGTTGCCAAGGTTGAGAAACACTGGCCTAGTTCTTAGTTCCGGTTGTGGGAATACTAGATAGCTTTCCTTCCTAGTCCCTGCTTCTGGGAGGTCCTTGAATCCTGGCCCTTTTTTTCACAGTAGAGCTGAGGGCTGCGAGTTCTTTGGGGCCCTCCAGGTCTGCAGCTGTCAGATCTGCCATAGACAGTGTAACTTTCATGGCAAATGGGAGGTTCTGGTGCTGAATGAGGAATTTAGTTCTTTTTGCATCCAAAGGAGGTAACATTTGGGGCCATTTTTAGGCAAGTAGATTCTGTGGTTGCTGTAGAAAAGAAAAAGGACTGATGGAGTGAAACTATTCTGCTCATATCCATAAGGGATCTCTGAGCTGCATACATGATAGAATAATAATAATAATAATAATAATAATAATAATAATAATAATAATACCGCAAAATAAGTGACATAAAAACTATCTGATTGATCAGCAAACAAATGCTTTTAAAAAATAGAGTGCTTGGGCAAAAGAGGCTATCTTCATTCCGTCCTGAAAAGAATATGATATGGATGCCAGTTGTATCTCTGCTGGGGAGTGGGGGAGGCAGTTCCAACTCTGGATACAGCCACACAAACAAAAACAGCCTTTTTTGGAAGGTCAGTAGTATATTTCTCCCGCTGAAGGACTGCTTCCTAAGATCTTATAGGAGCTGCCTTGTGCTTTAAAAGTGATGAATTGGGTTTGATAGTGATTTCTTTATTTACAAAATTTTAAAGAAATGCGATATAAGAATGTTAAGAAGAATCATCCGGGATCAAATTGAAGGTCTTCCTTGTTCAGCATTCTGTCTCCACATTAGCCATTCCGGGGCCCCTGGTAGAGGGCAATAGCTTCTTCCTGGTCCTTTCTCCCAAGGAGAAATGCTGTGACGAACTGATACCATGAAATTTGCTGCCTTTCATTCCAGAGATATATGCCAGAATGAGTAGTAGTTATTGGAAACCTTGTTATCCATGAATTTATCTCATCTCCTTTTGAAGTTGCCCAAGTTGTGGTTGTCACTAAAACTTGTAGTGAATTTCCCAACTGTGCAATCTGAGAAGCATGTTGTCTGTCCTAACATATCTTCCTATTTGTCTTGAGTGAATGATGCTGACTTTTACCATTATCCATTTTACTGCTTAATTTTATGCATTTGTCATGTTCACTTATTTGTCCTTTTTTCCTAAGCTTTTTTTTTTGTCTGCGCTCAGTCATTGCTGACCCTGCAGTGACTGCTTGGACGAGT